GTTATGCAGAGAATGTGCTTAAATATATATATATATGTATACACATATATATATCGAAATAATTTTTTTTTCTCCATATAGAATGCTAGATTTGCATCACGTATATATGAAGGATCCTGTATACCCCCCTAACTAATTTTAAAATATTGCGAAAAAAACTCCTCAGCCAGGAGTCGAACCTGGAATCTCTGGCTTTCTGGGCCGTCGCCTTCCCTGTTAGGCCACCAGTTAGGCCAAAAGGCACTTAGAGAGAACATAGCTCTCGTTCCGTGTGACGAATTCCACGGCGGACCCGCCGTTTTAAATAGGCAAATTTTGCAGTTATTTTCGGTGCTAAATTAAAGTAGCTCTTCCGATTTCGCGAGCGCTTCACTCCGGTATGCTAATTGGCACGTGCTTGCTGCATTATAACTGGCTACTGAATTACATCGAGACCTCTCTGAGCGTCCGAGTGACGGGAATTCGGCGAGAGCTTCACGCCATGCATGCACGCGGCGTCAGCCCGACCAGCCCTTGCGAAATCAAGTAAATCCGACGGCGTAGATATTACGCCTTGCGACCCGCCTTTGCACGCCTAGTTGTAAGCGCTTGATTTTATTAGAGTAACCTTTCTGGCTGATTCCCTCCTCCTGAATGCTTGCATAACACGCTTGGTACTTGGTCTATTCTGTCACCCGATAGTATCTAGTTGAAGTTAAGCTAGCGGGACGAAGCTAAAGTTTCCGGCATTACGAATTCTATATCGAATCGGTTCCGCGGTTAATTGCGTTTCTGCGAAGCGAATACCGTTATTTGTAGTAGTAAATTTTTGACTGGACACGGGTGTCCAGTCAGCAGTCGCGGGGCGATATGCGACCGCGTGCACAAGGACGCACCGGTCAAAGATCGCACGTGCAGCCGAAAAGATGCAATGGTTTGCATTGCACTTTTCGAAGGCCGGATGTCGCCTGGTTTTCCTCGGCCAATCACAGAGTGATTGACTCGAGGATATAAGCCGGTGCCCGGGCGAAAACAGCAGAATCGCCTAGAATAGTGTCGCGGCCGGGGGCTCTGCCCATCAGAGCATCACTCGTAAGGACTTAGGATATCGCGAGTAAGTAAAAGTGTAACACAAACAGAATACGAAATAAATGAATTTATTGAAACTTAATAAACGCTATACGATAATAATAATTCTCCTCGGCGTCCCTCCCAAGCAGCATCCTCGACCTCACGCGAGGTAACAATATATACGTGATGCAAATCCAGCATGCTATATAAAGGAAAAAAATTATTTCGACATATATATATGTGTATACATATATATATATTTAAGCACATTCTCTGCATAACATCCTGCAAAACGGCTCTTATAACCCAATTTATTACATTCATTAGTTAAATTTCATAAACTTTTGTAGTATTACAAATAGAAATACTTGTTATTAGAAATAATATTTTAGACATAACCTATTTTTTCTATCTTAATTAGAGTATACGTGAATAGTATGTATATATATAAATATATATAAAAATAAAATATTTTGTAATACTTTACTTTTATATCTACTTACTTTTATATCCACCGTGTCCAACTTGTGATGTTTTGATGAAGCCTAAAAATAAATTATTTGAAGAATTATTCTTCCTTCTATAGAAGCCTGATTTTCCAATAATAACAAGCTTATCTAAAGTTATGTTGGTAAAAAACTAATATTATTGAAATAAAAAGACACAAACATGCATACTAAATTTTAAAAAGTACATTGTAAATATGCTATTGTAAAGAAACACTTACTTATGGTCTTCTTAAAAAAATCAACACTTAATTTAAATTGTTTTACACATTTTAGTTTAAATAGACGAACTGATTCCACAATTTTTGACGTAAATATGCCGGTAAATCTATTTCGATATTACCATCACTTGTCTTGACTTGTCACGTGAGGTCTCATCTTCTCGATTGCGCGGCACGTTCTCGACAGAGATGCCAGTTTTAAGACTTTTGCAGCATGCAGCAGCAAGTGGAAGGGATACGCACACAGGCGAACAGCCGTGTCCGTGTGCGCTCGGCGCTTCGGCCAACTTCGAGCAGTAGACGGAGACGATATATATAACCGCTCTCTGTCTTCCCTTATAACTATAGCTATACCTAAACCGCCAGCCGCGAGAAGCGTACCTCGTTGCTAGCCTGTTTCTCGCGCGTGGCTCGTATGTTCCTTCTCTCTTCCTCCTTTTCTTTCTCTCTCTCTCTCTCTCTCTCTCTCTCTCTCTCTCTCTCTCTTTCTCATAGTTACACGGTCTGCGTTCCGATCTTCACTGCCGGTACTGAACATCTATAGCA